GGCACAGAAACGGAGAATCGAAAAGAAATTACTGCAGCAAGGCAAGGAACTGAAACGCCCTTTCCAAATTGGAGATACTGTTCAAGTATACCAAAATTACTTGGAAGGAAATTGGGCAGGACGCCTAGAAGATCTATGGGAAGGACCATTCTTGATTCACAAGGTCAACAAACGCGGTACCTATCGATTAAAAACGATGCAAGGAAGATTCCTACCGAACCCCTACCATGGAAACCGATTGCGCTCTTATACCTTACCTGATACCGAGTACCGAGCCCCAATATCTCAGGCATCGCTGCACCTCATTACCGACGAGGTCGATGCAGTACCACCACAAGAAGATGTATCAGAATCAGACCAAGACGAAACAATACAGACAATGCCGCAGCAAGGAAAATCGAGAAGGACTAAAAATGCAGGAAATCGGAGAAAAACAAAGAAAAAGAAGAAAAGAGATAGTAGCTATCGACCTACCAGAGGACGTTCATAAACCAATAACTCTGAAATATAAACGTGCAAACGCATGAAAAAAAAAAGATATACACTTCGAGAAAAACATATTATAAAATACATAGAGAAAAGACTGTAAAAGAAAAAAAAACATATATAAAGAAGAAAAATATCTTAAACAATCAACTCTATCATACCACTTGAACTACTACAATGAACAACAACAACAACAACACCCAAAACAACACCAACATTACCATCGTAGCCCCATGGGCTCAAGAAACGATGACGGGCAATAACTTGGACGGATGGGGACCAACCCCCACGCATATTCCAAGCAGAAATGAAGGCGGTTGGGCCTCGGAACCAAGCGTAGCTAGCTACGAAGACGATACCATGGATATCGATGAACAACCGACCACACATACATCACCATCGCCGCCACCACAAGACCAACGAAACCAACAAGACGTAGCGCTGGATACCTTGGACGCCATCATCGATGTGGACATAGAGGCGTTCACAACAATAGCAACAGCCTATGCAAGCACTTCTACATTGCTAAGCTTGCGTAGACATATACAACAGCAGCTCACCCAGTTGGCGGGTAATACAGCCAGATTTATCCAACAAGTACCAGTGCGCCCGCACCCGCAACGAAATGAAAACCAGCAAAGACAATTAGCTCTTGCTATCGTTATTAGAGACACCTTCCCTTGGGTGCCTGTGAACCTATACTGTGAAGAGTGCCGAAACGTCTTCCTAGGACACAACTGACGAGGATACGACGATTCGAGTTTTTGGAGACCTAATGGTTCTCACTTACAAATTGTACCTTCTTATTATCATTATACACACATTATATATATATTAAAGAAAATGTACAGTAGTAGAAAAGAAAAAAAAAACATATAACATACAAACAAAAAAAAAAAAAAACTATCATGTAAACCCAAACTTTTGTAAGCCTGAACGGCAATCTCCCAACTGTACTACAAACCCACATATACACACACACACACACACACAATATAAATACCTGTTTATACATATCAAACCTTTTATTTTAATAAACTGCAATGGATACACATCAAAATCCATTATCACACATAAACACACAAACAAAAGGATGGAGCGCCGACTCATACAGAGTGACTCCACGATTCGCACCTGATTCAACAACAATACAAAGGAGCGCCGACACATACACAGAGCGACTCTACGAACCACATACAACTTATCAAACCGATCGAACGGATGGAACACCGAAACATACAGAGCGACTTTACGATCCGAACAACAATATCACATCAATCACATCAAGCGGATGGAGCACCGACACATTTACAGCGTGACTTTACGATCCAAACAACATCACAAAAGAATTACAACAAAAACGAACGGATGGAGCCGCCGACGCATATACAGAGCGACTTTACGACCCATTATACAACAATTCAAACGATGTGGGACCATCTTTTTCCGGGCCCGAGGAGGTGTGATACCCCGAGAACTATCCCTCCAATAAAATCTGAATACAAGAAAGAGCTGCATAACAAACATCAAGCACATCACATCACACAACAACAAGAGCTCTACTACAGCAGCCTCGCAATTACTACAACATTCTGGCACTTTCCATAAAGCCAAGGACACAGCGATCCAATAACTACGCAGCAACAACTCTACAAACTTCTGGCACCTTCCAAATTGCCAAGGAATCTCTAATATAATAGACAATCTTCAAAAATTAATAATGAAAGTCCTTCCTTTTTTGGAATCGATTTTTAGCAGTGGTTTGTCTCCGAACAGCGAGCAGAGCTTTCCGTCCCCCTTCCTCTTCACGCGATCAATTTTTAAATCATTACACAGCTTGGGGCTTTGTTACATGTGAACAGTTTGCAATTTATTTTAATAATTCGCACTGTACACCTCGAGAGGTGGTGCCATTAGGATGGTTTACAGAACGCGATGGTGAACTAAGTGGCGTACGATGGGCAGGCGGCAAATTCAGTTTCTGAATTCCTTCCTCAAGAGAGGGCACAGGGGACAGTGGTGGAGGAGACACCGATTGGTATTCCTCTATCAAAAGCAGAGGCGAAGACACTGCTGGCGAAGGTACAGAAGGAAGATCTGACGGGATAGTGTCTATTTGCGAGTCTGCCTGTTCAAGCTGTCTCTGTGAGGACTGGAGATCTAATCCTTGAATGAGTTCATGCATACATATATATCTTAGCAAATAGGATTAAGTTACCAAGCAAATGCTCACAAGCTTCCATGAGCTAGATATCCTCCTGAGTCAACTCAAACTCATCATCGCTGTTTTTCTGTTTTTGAAAGCAAAGTTAACTAACGCGCTATATATGAGTTATTATAAAAACGTGGTTTCTTAGAGTACCTGACGCTTTGCATTTCTGCTAGCACTCTTGCTTTTGCGCTTTCGATAGAGCATTTGCTCCAAACCTTCTGTCTGATGATTGGGCTGAGTACTTCGAGTGTTGGGCATGATGGGAAGTTTGAAAGAAGAAAGTTGTCAGATCGGATAAGATATATTTGCCCTCACTCTGTTCGGAGTGCACAAAAGAAAGCTCACTCGGATATATAGAGCATAAATACCCTGGCAATGTAGCACCACATCTACTTTAGGAAAAAGATGACATGATCACTTTACTGTCATCTTGATAGCTAGAATGAGAGGAGATTATTTTTGCATTCTTTCTTCAATGAGTAACAACGCTGCTGAAACCACACCGCAAGGACAAACTATCACTGCTCCTACCAACACTGTGAGTTATTGAGACCACTGGATATCGTAAACGCCGTGAAGCTGATTCATGATACTGAACATTATATAATGATACTTTAGCATCAAGAAGATGCCTCTGGCAATTTATTTGCTACTATTGATTTGCGTGAAGGCTTTGGCAGGCCCAGAACACGTCGTCGTGGTGCAGGCAGACCCCGTCTAGAAAGGACTGCTACTAGGCCACTTGGATATCAGGACCAATTCGAGGAAACAACTATTGCTGGGCAGGATATTGTTGAGGACGCTGCATCTCCTCACGCTCACCGTCATGTGTTGCCACCAATGAACGCAACATGCAGTGCATGCGGTGCTCGGGTTTGGTCTTGGGAAACCCGTCGACAGAATGTTGATGGCACGTATTGCTATTCAATTTGCTGTGGCTATGGGGTTGTTGAACTTCCACCTGTTCTGCGTCCACCAGAGCCACTGCGCTCTCTGCTCATTGGTACAGATGAGGAATCGTCAACGTTTCGTGAACAGATCCGCCTATACAATGGTACTTTTGCATTTGCTTCCCTTGGTGTGGATCGTCTCGACCAAAATTATACCAATGCTAGAGGCGGAGCAAACTCTTTTCGTATCCAAGGCACTGTTTACCACAGAATCAGTTCCATTGTTCCTCAAGATGGTCGTCCGCCCCGCTTTGCTCAAATCTACATATATGATCCTCAAGAGCAGGCAGCAATCAGACAGACAGTCTTTCCAGGTTAGCATTAGTAAACACAATTTATAACGAACGGTCTTATATGACTTTTTCGGCAATGTATTAGATGGAAACCTGGATCGTGCATTGTTGCTTGATTTGCAGGCTATGCTTGATGAAAATAATCAGCATGTTCAGACCTTTCGGACGGCAGCTGAGCGTTTGCGCGGTGCACCAGGTGTCAACTTGGGGATACGCATCTCTGGGAGCCAGCGCCGCGGAAGACAGTATGCAGCTCCTACTGCTGACGAAATAGCTGTACTGATTGTTGACAATCCAGGCGAAGATGCTACCTATCGTGATGTTGTTCTCTTTCGCCGTGATGGAGGGATGCAAAGGATTAATGAGACAAGTAGTTTGTATGATCCACTGCATTATGTCCTTATGTTCCCAAATGCAGAAAATGGATGGAGTGAAGGAATTCCTCTTCGTGGACATCAGCATGCTCAAGCTGAGCCAGGTCGGGAGCGTCATGGTCGTCAGGGTACTGTCTCGGTTCGTCAATTTTACGCCTACCGCATCCAAGAACGTGGCGAGTCTCTTGCGCATCTATATGGGCGACTTTGGCACCAGTACATTGTCGATATGTACGCAAAGATTGAGCACCGTCGTATGCATTACTATCGCAGCCATCAAAGACAGCTACGCGTGGAACTTTACAGTGGTATGGCTGATGCGCTCCAGCAAGATGTAGGAGAAGATAATAACGAGCTGGCTCGAAATTTGGGTCGTCGTGTTATCCTTCCATCTTCTCATACTGGCAGTCCTCGGTAAGTTATTCTTTAAGATAGCAACATGAGTATCGTGCCTGGGATCGTTTAGAATTACAATCAGCTAGCGTTTTGCTGTGGAGAGTTTGTTATGGTGAAAATAAAATAAAATGTTACTATACATGAAATTGCTTACATCAATCTCTGTTATCTTTTTCTGTTCTGTTTCTTTATAAAGTTATATGCATCAGCTGTATCAGGATGCAATGGCTATTGTGCGACATTTTGGAAAGCCGGATCTTTTTATAACTGTTACGTGCAACCCAGAGTGGCCGGAAATAAGAGAAGCCTTGGCCTCTAATGGACAGCAGCCATCTGATCGCCCTGACTTGATTGCCCGTGTTTTTTCTGAAAAGATCAAGCTAATAATGGCAGATCTCAAAGATCATAACGTGCTCGGCAATGTTGTCGCATGGGTTCAAGTAATTGAATTCCAAAAGCGCGGCTTGCCACATGCCCACATTGTTTTGATTATGCACGATGACTCCAAAATACGCACTGTTGAGGATGTCGACAACATCGTTTCTGCTGAAATTCCAGACCCCCAGCGCTATCCACAGGCATATGCCACTGTCACACGCAATATGATCCATACTCCCTGTGGCTCTTTACTCAATCCACGCGCCATCTGTATGAGTAATGGATCATGCTCAAAACGATTTCCCAAACCATTCGCCAATGAAACTCGATTCGATGAAAACGGCAATATAACATATCGTCGACGTGATATGCCTGATCGCACAATCGAAAGAATTGTCAACCGCACAACATACAATGTCGGAAATGGATGGGTCGTTCCGTACAACTTATATCTTACAACAAAGTACAACGCCCATATCAACGTCGAAATTTGCTCCAGCAACCGAGCTGTAAAGTACCTATACAAGTACGTTTACAAAGGGTCCGACTGTGCCGAGGTGACAGTAGGCACCCAAAGTGCAGCGACAGTGACGCAAGCAAATGAAGAAAACGTTGATGAGATTGATGCATTTTTGAATGTACGATACGTATCGGCAGCAGAAAGTTGTTGGCGCATTTTCGAGAAGGATATGCAGAGTCATTTTCCAGCAGTAAAGCGCTTAGATATCCATTTGCCATCAGAAGAGAACGTGTACTTTGAAGCTGATGCCGATGTTCGAAACTTGCAACGCGCAGCACGCAACCGGAGCTCGACGTTGGTAGATTGGTTTGTGTTGAACCAGCGCGACCCTGACGCACGACAATACTTATATGTCGACATCTACTCGGCATATACGCACAGCAGACAACGTGGATGGTATCGCCGTGGACGAATGCATAACCGTGGTGTGGCACCAGTCTCTCGATTGTACTTTGTACAGCCACGCGACCTGGAGAAATATAGCTTGAGGCTATTGTTGTTGCACGTTCCGGGCGCCACCAGTTTTGAGGATATCCGCACTTTTGAAGGCACAGTATATCCCACGTTTAAGGCTGCTGCACAGGCACGCGGATTGTTACAAGACGACGAAGAGTGGAATAGGTGTTTTGGAGAAGCCGTTGAGGTCACCACATCCGCGTCACGGCTCCGTGATCTCTTCGCCGTCATCCTGGCATTCTGCGATATCCTGACGCCTGGCGAGCTTTGGGAAAGATATGCTGACGATATTGCTGCTGATTTCCTCGAGAATCGACGTCGCCAATTACAGGCTGAAAATGGCCAGCAGCATGTGGAGCTTTTAGAGGAGGATATTACTGCAGCAAGATTACGAGCCTTGGAGGAATTAGCAGCATTGCTTCCCCAGTACGGCCGCTCCTTGATCGAATTTACTGACATGCCGCAATTGCCTGCCTTACAGGAGGGAAATCACCAACACACCTACGACCGCCTCATACAGCAAGAAACACGGTATAATCGCGTT